TCGTTAATGGTGGATCTAAAAAGACCAATAATTACTATAATAATACTATAATATATGAAGAAGTAACCCGGCCTCCAAAATACTATATAAAGGCGAAAAAATTCCTAATAAATTCAAACTTAACTTCTTACCATTTTTCTTTTCTATATAGTTAACCATAATAAATTACAAACCATTAGTTATTAAACATTAACGTAGAAGCTTCAATTAATATAATTAAATCCACCAGAGTCCTCAAATCTATACAATTATTTCTATATCAAAATCTTATATATTAGTTAACTATCAAGTCTAAGCTAAATCATAAATATATTCCTCCAATCTATAAAACCAAATAAAAAAGTCATCAATTATCTATTATAAAAACCATATAAAAAAGTCATCAACTTATTATCGTTACAAGTATACTTAAACTACAAATACAAACAAATTAATCTTATATCTTTTATTATATTAAATCTATTATTAATCAATTATTAAATCAAGCTTGTTATATCAAATCTATTAAAACAAATAAACAAATTATCTTTATTATTAATCTCCAAATATAATTATAGTCAACTTATTATCTTATTATTTAAATCTAATAAAAACAGCTGTTAAACACATAACTTTATTATCTTATTATATCTAAACGTTTAATCTTTATCTTATTGCAATAAACCAATAAATCTATTTCATAGCCAATAACTCTTATAATCATAGAAGTTATTGTTAATCACTTATATTAAATCAAACAAACTCAGTTCGAACTATCTCTATTGAAAACAACCATCCATTAAGGATTATAAAGCAATCAACAACTAATTAGTAACAAACATTCTTAATTTTAATTATCTTAACACTATTAGCAACATCATGTCTAGCTTTCACACCGGTTCAGGAAATAACAACGATTACTCTGACTCTAACCCCTTAGAATCATCCAGTAATCAAGACTTTATTCAACATGATTAGAAACCGATAGAAATAATATCTTTTGAATACCAGCTGTGCCTTTGTCCACTTACTTAACTGATATTTTTATGGTGTGAATATTGATGTTATAGATAAAAAAAAGAAACGACTCCCGTGAAAAATAAATTTCTTGTGCCAGAAAAAAAAAGTTGGCATAATAAAGTACTACAGATTGAGCTGCCTGAGAATATGTATACTGCGTGATATGAATACAAATTGTTTAAGCTTAAGAAATGTATAAAAGCAGTTGATATTCCCATGTTTTTCAATTCTACTCAATCGTTTTTGTTAATCCATTGTCTTTAGTCTCAAAGTTATATCACAATGGCTACAAAAGGGTACACCCCAAACATTGTTAATGAAGTTTCTTCAACTGAACAACAATTTGATGAAGAAAAATCAACTGGTTTACAATCAAGTAATCAACCATTAGATCAAGAACCATTAGATTCATATGCTGGTACTAAATCAATTGTCCTCAAACAATCTGAAATCTTAGCTCAACAATATGATTCAATTCCATATAGATTATTATTATTATTTTGTGCATTTTTAATTGGTTATGGTTATGGTTTAGATGCTAACATTCGTTATGTCTTTACTGGTTATGCTGCTTCTTCATATTCTCAACATTCTTTAATCGCTACTGTGGGTGTTATTAACGCTGTTGTTGGTGCTGCTTCACAAATGGCTTATGCTAGATTATCTGATGTTTTTGGTAGATTACAAATCTTGATATTATCAATTGTTTTCTATGTTATTGGTACAATTATTCAATCACAAGCTACAAATATTCAAAATTATTGTGCAGGTGCAGTTTTCTATAATTTAGGTTATGTTGGTGTTTTATTAATTGTTTTCTTGATCTTATCAGATTTTTCATCATTAAGATGGAGATTATTTTATCAATTTGTTCCTTCATTACCATTCATCATTAATACTTGGATCTCTGGTAATGTTTCAGCTGCTGTTAAACCTTTAGAACATTGGTCATGGGGTATTGGTATGTGGGCTTTCATTTTCCCATTATCTGCATTACCATTTGTTGCATGTATTTTACATATGAGATGGAAGGCAAGAAATACTCCAGAATGGTTAGCTGTTAAACAACAAAAAACTTTTTATCAATCTCATGGTTTATTAAGTTTTACTAAAGAATTATATTGGAGAACTGATATTACTGGTATTTTATTATTAACTGTTTCATTAGGTTGTTTATTGGTTCCATTAACTCTTGCAGGTGGGTTAACTTCCAAATGGCAATCAGGTAAAATTATTGGTCCATTAGTTTTAGGTTTTGTCTTGATGCCTGTTTTCATTGTTTATGAATCATTTGCAGCTAAATATCCATTATTACCATATAAATTATTAAAAGATCGTGGTGTTTGGGCTGCATTAGCAATTTCATTCTTATTTGATTTTGTTTATTATATGTATGCTGATTATTTATATACTATCTTGATTGTTGGTATTAATCAATCAGTTACATCAGCTACAAGAATTACATCAATTGCTACATTTGTTTCAGTTGTTTGGTCACCATTATTTGCTTTGCTTGTTGTTTTCTTTAGAAGATTAAAAGGTTTTATTTTATTAGGTACTTCATTATGGTTAGTTGGGTTAGGATTATTATATCATTTCAGAGGTGGCGAATCATCTAAAAATGGTATTATTGGTGGGTTAGTCGTTATTGGTCTTGGTACTACAATGTTTTCATACCCAGTTACCGTTTCAGTTCAAGCTGTTACTTCACATGATAATATGGCCACAGTTTCAGCTTTAATGTATACCATGTATCGTATTGGTTCAGCTGTTGGTAATGCAGTCTCAGGTGCAATTTGGTCAAATTTATTACCAAAAAGATTAGTGAAAAATATGGCACAATTTAATAATGCTACTTTAGCTTCATCAGCTTATGTTTCACCATATACATTTATTGTTGAATATCCATATGGTACACCAGTTAGAAGTGCAATGATTGAAGCTTATAAACATATTCAAAGAATGGAAACTTTAGTTGCTATTGTTTTCTGTGCTTTAATGATTTTCATTGCCTTTTTCTTAAGAGATCCTGAATTAACTAATGAACAAGCTCATAATGATTTAGATGAAGGTGAAATGACTTATAAGAAGAGTAATGATCCATTAGCTGATTTCGTTAAAAGATGGAAGAAATAGATTACATTCATTTTAAACAAACTTTTATACCTTATATATAGAACATTTTAATTTACTTAATACTTGATTTATGAAAGGTTTGTTTATTGTAGGTTGTGTTTGATGGGTTGGTTATCATGGCGGCTAATTTTGGTGACGTATAAAAGTGACGGGATTTCCATATTCATTTTCTTTTGAATTCATCAAGATCAACAACAAGAATGAAGTCTAGCTTATGATCAACTAGAGGTTTATGTTATAGGTTACACAGAGCTTAGTTACTGTTGGTGAATGGCATGGCCGGTGGTTTACTTGGGTTTTAATCATGGAAGAGTCAATCAATTAATGGGTCCTTTAGACGTTATTTTTAGGGTGATGATGATTTAAGCGCTGTGATTATTGTCGTTTCGTATAAGGAATTACGAAGATTTAGTTCTTCTTGTCTGTTGTCGCTGATTATTTTGATAAGCTTAGATGATAAAGTCAACTTTTGTTCTATTGTAATTTGTGATTGTTTGAAGGAAGGATATTAATGGTTATTCATAAATCTGGTTAACAAGATACCAGAGATTCATATCTAAAACTGTTATGATCCAGATTCTATTATGTTACTACTGCTGCATACTTTAGCTTTGTATGTGTCTCAAAACTTACAATCATCCAAGATTCATCATTCTATGATATTCCAATAATACCGTTGCATCTTGTTCACGGAAGTATAAAGTCAACTGTTCAATTCAACAGCCATCAAATGTTCAAATCACAGGGATGTATACTTGATTCCAACATCATATCATCAAATCATAACCCTTGTACATAATTGACATCACCAAATTTCTTCAATGAATCTCTTGAACTCTTGATAGTTTCAAGATTTTATTCTTGAGCCTGGCCAATTGCCCCCAGAAAATAACTGCCAATTTCCACCGTGTCTTGTCTTATTAAGCGGGTTTCCATTCCCAAAAAATAAAGTACGAATTTGA